CCATCCCACTGCACCAGTTGTCTTGAAGGTTCTTGAGTTCCTGAGCTGGGGCTCACTTGTGATAAAGAGTGTAAAACTTTTTTTCTTGCTTAAAATTACCATAAAAGGAAAATTTTTAACAAAACGGACGCGATCAGGAGAGAGTTTTTTTGGTTGATGTTGTTTATTTATTAAATTACAAAGAACCATTATATGTACGAAAATACATGCAAAATACAAATTTTTTTGACCCAACTTATCCATTAATAACTGAAATCTCTAGATACGATTTATGGGGTAATTTATTGTTCCTCTAAAGTATGGGATTAAGATTCTAAACTTCTGATAGGATCAAAATCTGTAGATCACCTCTACAGTTTTGACTATACATATGTTCGTATTTAATTCAGACATTTTTCAAAAACCATATTATGTTCATATTATTAAATAACAATTAGTAAATAATTGGAAATCGTATTTAATTTTAAATCATATTGTCAATCAAATTTCCTTTTATGGTAATAAGGAAACATATATAATTATAACCATAAATTCAAATTATGTTATCCCTTTTGTAGAAATTACATAAGGGGAAAAAGAAATAAAAAGAAAAATTTTTTGACAAAAAGAAAAGAAAAAAGCTATCATCTATTCTAATTATTATTGAAAAAGTTATCTTAGTAAACTTAAAACCCAAACCCTTCATGGTTTTCTACTTCTCATTACCTGTGGCCAATCAAACTGTTTAATTTTTATTGGAGTAGTCGATATTCAAGAATGTTTAAGGACACTTTCAGGAGAGTATTTCTTGAAACTTTATGCTTGAAGACTTCTAACCAAAAATAATATTGGTTTTTTATTGTTGATTTTTCTCCCAAGCCATGTCTTTTAAAATTATTGCTTTACTTAACTAGTAAATAGTTTCAAGGTTTCTTTTTCCAACCATTTTCAGGATAAATATTAATACTTTAAATTGTTACCAGATTGGGATAGGATTTAGATCTTGTTGCTACTTTCTGGCCTCAAGAAAAAATAGGAAAGAAAAAAAAAATAAAAAAATAAAAACAAAAAGGGATTGCTTCTCTTCTACTCATAACTTCTACTTTATCCAATACTTCCATACTACTTCTTTAACCAAAAACTGTCCAACTGTTTTAGAAATCAATTACATCATTGGTTTGGTATTGATGATTGAAAACATGTGAGGAGTATATGTCTTGTTTACTTTTTCTAAGGCTGATATGATCAATCAATCTGTGGCCTTGACCAATTATCTTTCAGAAAATCTGGTGTAACTAAAAATTCAGAGTCAAACTGAAGTAGCAAAATTTCCCCCAAAAATCAAAAAAAAAGAAAACATGCTTGAGAAAAAAGAAGAGGAAAGCCAAAAAAACATGGAAAGACTGGAGGCTTCTTTGTTCTTGTTTCTCTGAATTTTTGAATATTTTGGGGGTCTTTGGAGAGTATTTTTTCTTATCAGTTTTCTTCCTAGAAAGATATTTTTGCCATAGATTCTTTAGATAGGTTTCTTGTATTTGTTGTCAAAATAAACAAGAAAAGTATTTTGAAAAGAAAAAATAAAACAAATGATAGCTTCTGCTTGCTCTGCTGGTTAAGAAACCAGTGTTTTTAAGGAAGTGTATAGACTTTATTATCATAAAGACAAAAAGTCCTTTGAGAATGTCTGTTTTTTAGGTTGACAAAAGGATTAATAGAAAGAGTATTTTTCAATTGCAAAATCTATTTACATATTGTATATGTTTAAATTATATGAATTGTTAATCAACTGACAGTTATTGTATAATTATGAATCAAGCTGCACAGATAAGGATTAAACAGTTGTTTATTTGAATTTGAATAGTTTAAATGAATCACACTTCTACTTTCAAGTGGTATCACACTTTACATGGCTTAAAAGTTATCAATAAATTTCATAAAAATATTAAAAAAATACACAATAACAGCTATAGTAACCTAATAGAATTTAGAATTAAACTTCTCTTGAAAATATTTCTATCTCATCAAATATTTCATTAATATTATTTTGATCAATATTCAGATGGATATTGTCCAAGATGTAAATTCTGTACTGAAGACATTTAACATGTTTTCAAATACCCTAAAGTCTCAAAAGAGACCAACCAGATTACAAACAATATTAATTAAATTCTCTATTTAGATGACAATTTTAGATTGATTTTTTGTATATGACAAGTAGTAGAACTGTTATATGATATAACTGATAGAATTTTTTTCACAGTAAATACTATCTATTGGGTCAAGGTGTCAACAAAATCCTTAGCTCAATTGTATAACTTAATTTGGAAATTATGATATAATACCACCAATATTTTATCACTTACTGGTATTAAATAGAACCCAAGTGAACTACTGAATATTGTCAATTCAATCAAATCAAAAAGAAACTATACTGCTTTTACAGGAAGTTTATACTTTAATTTTATTCAAAACAAAATTATCATCAATTTATTAATAATAATTACTAATTCTTTTATTCAATATAATTATAACCTCTTCAAATGTATTCAAAATCTAATATTATCTTTTTCAAATACTATTTTTTTTGATACTGAGTAGGTATTCATACCTGCTTAATACCATATGACAAGATATATTGTTTTAAAATTTTTTTTTAATATTAGTTATATGGTTACACTAGTTGAAATCTGATTATTCAGCAGTATACCACTCGTCAATCATTTGGCACATGATAAATAATTTGTCAAACATTCATCAAACATTTGGCAATAATTCAACATATTCAATTCAGCAATGATTGTCGAATTGTTAACAAATGTTTGATAAATATTAATCATATACCAAATAATTGACGAATAATTGACGAATAATTGACGAGTAACATACTGCCAAATAATCAGATTTCAACTAGTGTTACTGTAGGCAAGCTAGCATTTAATTCATTGTATCAACATATGAGAGATGTTGTTTCTTTTATAATGTATATCTTGTCATATACAAACAAAATAAAGAAATTATATTTACCTACAAAAAAAAAAATTCAAATTATAATTTTAGGATTATTATTTTAGGCCCCAAAAATTTTTGGTTCATCCTCAAAAATAATTACCCATATAAAAATTTAGCACTTGTTATTTAATAGAAATATGCCATATTGAAAAAGTGCTTCTATCTTTTTGTAAATAGAACCGACGTTTTATAACTAAATACACGGTACCCGGAATCCGATGATCACCGGCATAATTATAATATATAAAAGTATTGTTTTTGATGCCTACGATCATCAATTAACAAGAACTGTATCCCTTGTTGATCTTTATATGTGAATTAGCATCAAATTTTTCTATTGTATATTTCTCCAAAGATACATTCCAAGATCGATCCTACAAATTATATAAGGTCCCGATTAGTGAATCTTTTTATCTGTCTTGCGCAAATATAAACGAAAAAATAAAATGAAGCTAATAAAATCTAATCAAAACTTACTAACATTTATATTATTAATATCCTTGATCAAATGAGATTATCCGCTCAGTTCGCTTTTTTTTGAACATCTATAGAGATGGAAAATCGACTAACGTCGTTATGACATGTTTCAAGAAGCTAACATATTGCTTTTCTTATTATGTATGGGCATTTTGATCTTCGCCAAGAAAATCACTGACCATAATCACGCGTACAATAGACGCAGTAAAATTATCCACATGATTCCTGTTCCATGCAACAGCACACCAAAACAATGCCTATAGATGCAAAACATCGTACGATGCATCGGTGAGTCCACTGTATGCGTATCCAGCAACACAACATGGCGAAACCTCTTAAAACTTGAACTTAATGTGTACTCTCACTTTTAGCTGTTATTATGGATGTAGATAAGGCTGCTGAACGAAAAAACTCCCACACAAACGTAAGTATCGATTATTTAAAGTCTCATAACAATAATAAACTCATACTGTATTTAATGCATATTAGTTATCGCAACGGTGCATTCTTGCCGTTGGAGATACAGGGCTGGGAAAGAGCTTTACAGCAAAAGTTTTGGGTGCGGAAGAAGCGGAAATTGGAAACGGGACGGGCTCTAAAACGGCGTCTGTTAATGTTTATACCATTAAGGTCGCTAATAAAAACGGAGAAAATAAGTCAACACTCTACATTGACACGCCTGGCTTTGCTGACACTAACGCTGATACTGACAAAAGCAAGACCGATGAAGAAACCAAACGTAGGATTTTTAACAATATGCTAAAAGCAGGAGTTACGAACTTGACGACAATTTTGTGGTTTGTAAAACCTGGAATTAAAGCGGATAACATGTATAAACGTCAAGCAGAATTTATAGAATCTTTGGCAATGGGTTATAATAATAATAACTGCAATGTATGGGATAATACCATCATTGTCATTAAAGACGAAGAACCTGATACAGAAGATACGGTAGGCGGCCCTAGTAACGCAGGCAGCCTGACTAACGCAGACGGTCCTATTCAAGCGGCTAGAGAAATAGCCCAAAAATTACATAATACCGAAGACGATCGTCTTTCTAAGACTCGGTGTTTTTTTATTTTATTATTTGAGAAATTTAGGGCTAAAAGGAAAAAAGATATGATAGAGAAATCAAGCGACGAGTTAAACAAACTTGGTTTCTATAGAGAGAATGAACACGAACGAATACGCAAAAGATACGAATCGTTAATGGAGAACCATATTGAGCATCCCATATGTCTCAACCTTAAGAGCGTCAAGTGTTCGAAGTGTTCCGAAAAAACTGACCCGAGAATTGCGGGTAATAAATGTCATTCAGAGGTAGAACTTATTCATCCTAATATAAAGTCGACTCATGTTGGAGATGTTGAACTTATACATAGTGGTTGCACTCAATACTATCATCGTAGTCATTATGTTGCAGCTACCACGAAACACGTGATGGATCATAATGTTATACCTTGGGTGGTTCGTATCGGTACTTTAGGAATGGCAAATCCTACTAAACTCGAATTTGTAAACGGATACTGGAGCTGCTGTAGAAATATTGATGCCAATTCAGTTGGATGCCAACAGCGTTGTGGTTTTTGTAGTAAGGAGATTACAGATAGAGGATGCGTACGTATGTACAAGGGGTGCAAACACACTGATGACGTAGGACCTTGCAATAATACTTGTGTTGCATGTAGGAAATCATCGGACACGGAAGGTTGCACGGAGAAGTGCAAAAGGTGTAATAAGCATAATCCAAGTAATCTGCCAGGGTGCAGTGAAGTAGGTCATGATAATGTAGAACATGATTTTTTCAAATAGAGATTCTAGTTTAAAGAGCGTATTATTATGTAAAAGCAAAAGTTATTGTATTGCCATTGAATAAGCGAAGCCAGGTTCACCAAAATGTTTCTCAATCAATATAAGGCAGAAATAAATAAATTTACGTATGAGATACGCATGTCAATTCTACTTCTATTCATTGGTTCGTGATGTGATTTACGTTAATTTTGGCACGCAGGGTCGAGCGACTTTGTTCCGCGAATCAGAGAAGTTCGAGTAATCGTGTAACATAGATAATCCCTATTTTTTTCGCTTTACATTGGATGGAACGTTTAGTTATTACGCATACTTCTATATAAGAATACACAAAAACAAAACTCAAAAAGGTAATAAGGTTAAATAGCCTATCAGTTTCAATCAATATTATTATCAGAAACTACAGTACTACCATGGGTTTCGCTTAACCTGTATAATCAATATACTGTAAAAGTCACTAATAAATTTCATTTCCTTTTCTCGAATTATATATTTTTACTAGTCCAAATACATAAACGCACATGAACACATCGCATAAACCAGTTTTTTACTCCATATACTGTTATAAAAAATGTCTTCACATACTTCTTTACCTTTCTCACCTCGACAATAACGGAAGAAAGATCAACTCGCACGATGATGGCTATGGTTAAAAACCTTGATATAAAAGAACTTGTCGACTATTTGCAGAGAAGCTTAAGGAGTCACATTTCAAGGTCTTGTGAATGGAAGAAATTTCTGGCCTTGCCTTTCTTAAATTAATGGAAGAAAAGCTTAGAAGTATTGGCTTCACATTAGGACCAGCGACTATTCTTACAGATTTTATTGAAGAGCTTACAGAACAAAAATTGTGAAGTTTCTCGTCATACAAAACTCTTGCTGCACTTCTAAATATAAAGTCAATGGGAAAATATTATGAATATCAATCAATTCAACTCAAGTATATAGTATTTTTTTTATATATTTTACTGAATTCATGATTAAAATTTCAGATACATGTGGCACCAATAACAAATCATGTGTATAATCTATTAAATTACATATTAAATTATATGTTAAACCTATTCAATTACATGTAAATTGTATCAGACTGTCAAATCAAGTGTTATAATAACAATTTAAACATTAACAGCACTAACACACATATCTATATCACTAAAAACATGTGCCCAAACTATTTTAACGTGTCTTTATAACAACTTCATAAAACATGTTATATAATGTAAACAAACAATCTCAATAATAGCAACTTCTATTATACCACCAATCTCAAAGGCAATCATGTCCTCAAATCCACTATCAACAAATCCGATTTTGATTCTTTTTGATATTGTGTTAATAGAAAGAAGCAAGTAATAAGTATATATTGTTTATAAAATTTCAAAGGTAAAATTACAACAATCAATTCATCAAGCTTCTTTACTATTCCCTACTTATCAAATTACTTAACAAAATAACTTATATTCACTATCAATATAACCAGACCTAATTATAAAACCCTCATTTTTTAAATAGAATTTTATCCCAGCTAAGACAAGAAAAGAATCGCTATATGAGTATCAGTTTTCAAAAGAAAATTGATCAAACATTAATAAATTTATCAATTTTTAGAATTTTTTTCAAAGTATCTTTGTAAATAATGGTGCTCTCAAAAACTCTATTCTAAAATTGGTTTTAAGTATAAATTGGAATTATTCCAAACATGTTTCTTAAAATATAATCTATATAGTTAAAATAATCACAGGAAAAAAAACTTTTCTTGTCAAAGCAACATATCAGATAAACAACACAAGTCTTTAGTATTTATTTATCTTGATAACAAATATATTCTTAGCAAGATCATTAATTTTGTTATTTAAAATTATAAAATAAATTCCTATCTAAATACAATCACAATGGCAATTGACCAATCAGACTTCAAATCTATTGAAAAAGATTTATCTAAAAAAAAAACAACAATAATCATGAATCAATAAAATCATAATACACTTAAAAAATTTATTTCCTTAAAAGGATATATATATACTATTATATCTTTGCACTTGAATTTCTTACTATTGAAAAACATAACAAAATCATATTCACAATAGATTTAAATTTTTCAATATCAGAAGATATAGAAATAAAAAACTTAGTTAACACTTATCAATATTAATTTGAGAAGAACATTTCTGTTCTGACTCAACTAGATAGTCCTGCCAATTCTTTAAATATTTTGAATTCTAATATCATCTAACAATAGAATTTTCATTATTAAGACCCTTATCTTCTATACTTTTAATTACTTCTAAAAACAAAAACAATGCAATCAATTCAAGAAACTTAGTCAAGTCTAAATATGAAAAGAAAATTCTTAAAAAAAAAAGGAAAAAAAAAGCTATGCTTAGACTATATAAGTTTGAAAAAGATTAACTCCTTCAAATATTAGTTATTAAGAAATATAACCTTTTAAATTTCAACTACAATATAACAATCTTGATCTATAATTGTATCACAGAACTTATATTGTATCTAATGATCTGAATGTTCTGAAATTATTCAATCTATCTCTAATAATTTACAAATCTAAAACATATTTTCAAACAATTGTCAAATGCATATATAGTGTGATTTTAACTTCTGATAATATTCATATCACCAAAATATCACTAATTAATTATTATAATTTAATGTAATTAAATTCGAAGCATAAGATTATAAAGTATGCATATTATTTAATTATTTTCTTTTTATTTTCTTTTATATTTTCTTTATATTAATTAAATGCATATGTCTCTATAAGTTAAGCTTAATATAGATATATTGTTATATACCAATCCAACCTCAAAGACCAGCATAGAACAGAGAACTGACATAGAGAGACACTTTAAGAAACATAACAATTATAATTGTATGAAGACAAATATAATTGTAGTAATTTGTAAAGAACTTTTATTATCAATACATTATTATATTCTTAATTCTATCAATTCCACCTTTGAACTTTTCTACAAGTCTCTTTCTATTTTTTTCACAACTTTTCTACAATTTCTCTATTATTTTCTTCTGTATATGAAATATATAATTATTCTATTTATATAAAAAGAAATAAAGAATATAATTGATGTTCTAAATTATTAAGAATAACAAAAAATACAAATATAAAAAAATTAATGAAAGGCTAATTAGTAACATATTCCTCAATTCTTTGTATTCATAACTTGGGGAATTATTACTTGATCATGTGATATAACAATATATTTTAATTGGATACTATAACTGTTTGTCTGAAATCCTTGATTATTGCAAAAGTGGTAATTTAAATATTTTTTTCTGGGTTCTAAGTAAAGTTGCTCAGCAGATAAAAATACTATATGTCTATTATTAGTGAATTAATGTATTAAATCAATATTTGATATGAAATTTCCTATTTCAGAAAATTAAACTTTTAGATTTAATAATATGTATTTTTTTATTTTATTTTTTTGTAGGTAAACATTATTTCTTTATTTGATTTGTATATAACATGATATATATCATGAAAGAAACAATATCTCTCATGTGTTGATATAATAAGTTAAATGCTAGCTTGTCTACAGTAACCATATGACTAATATTGAAAAGAAAGTTTAAAACAATATAACTTGTCAAATGATACCAAACAGCTATAAATACCTACTCAGTATCAGGGGAAATAGAGTTGAAATTAGCAGATAAAGTTGTTAAACTATAAATACATTTGGAATAATTCTATTTAAATTGAATAAATGAGTTGACGACAGTAGAAAATAAATCAATAATAGTGTTGTCTTGTGAGTTATTGGAGTTGTCTTTAGTTTGCAGATTTTTTTGGTTTTTGAATTAATGGAATTGACTAAATTGTATAGTTTGACATAGTTTCACTTGATTCCAGTAAGGGATGAGGTGTTTGGCTATGAAGCAATGTGGTTTCCAAATTAGATCATATAACAAAGTTAAAGATTCTGTTGCTGCCTTGATCTAGTTGATAGAAATTAAGGTGAAAAAGATTTAATCTGTGACTCCATATGACAATTCGACAACTTGCAATATGTATAAGATTGGTTTGTGATTATTATCTAAATGGAGAGTCTAATTAATGGTTTTAATGATTTGTTCAGTTGCTTGTAATACTTCCAAGTATTTAAAAACATGTTAAATATTTTCAGTACAAAGCTTACATTATAGGTAGAGGGTATCTGGGTATTAATTAAAGTATAGTTGGTGGAGTATAAGATAAGTTAGAAAAGTTCTTGAGAGCAGTTTGATTTTGATGACTACTAGAGTATTGTACTTGTTGTTATGAAGCTTTTTGATGTTTTTGTTAGATTGACTGATAACTTTTATACCATATGGAATATATGTTAGTTTGAATATTTAAATGATTAAAAAGCTTTTACATACCATGTAGTCTTTAATAATGCTGAAAATTTTCTTGCACCATCTGATACTACTACTTAGGCAAGTATCATTGATTAAAGAATTTTCAGGAAAGTTTAATGAAGAATTGTTCCATTGAATAGTTCTGGTTGATATTGGTTTGAACTTAGGTTTGGTATATACAATTTTCATGGATTTCTGTTATATATAGTATATTGATTTATTCTCTGAAATAATGAGAAAAGGTTGATTTTAACTATTCTTTTCAAGTACTTAGATACTAATTGAAGAATTTTTTTGAGTGAACTGAAATTTTCTGGACAATATCAAAGATTACCAGTAGAATATTATCTGGTGGTAAGCAAAAGTTAAGTGATTTTATTTTGATCTCATTTATAAATAAACTATTTTTATGTGATTGGATATAATAATATTATTGTAAATCAAAATCTTGTAATAATGATTGGAGAGAATGATTGGTAGAACTATTAACTTTTTTAAGAATGTGTTTATTGTTAGGTGATGAGTTGATGACTTTATCAATTATATTGAGCAAACAATATTTGAATCTGTTGGAAGGATTAAAAGAAACCCATAATGTGGAGACTAATGTGCTTATAAATGGT